AATCCAGATAGTGCGCTAGAGAATATCTTGTAAAAATATCCGGAACTTTTCGACGATGAACCAGGAAGTTATCGATATGGAAAAGAGGAGTTACGTTTGAAATCGAATGCGTGTCCAGTTTTCCGTCGTCCACGACAGATTGCTCATAGCTTAAAGGAAAAGGTCGATGCCCAGCTAGAATCCCTAGAGAAAAAAAGGAACCATTACTCGGATCACTACAAGTGATTATGGAACTCCGTTGGTGCCCATTAGACTGATGCAAATTTTGACTTTTTCGCTCCACAGTGCTTAAATGGTTTCAAATCGGGTCCTGATTAGCCTCCCAAAGTTACAACTAATTTGGTTAGAAACAGACTTTGCACAAGCCATTTGAAGTTTACATGTAAATTACTATGGGAAATCTAAACTTTTTGTTCATTACCTTCTAATCTTTTTCCATATTGAGCTGCGAAACAGTTCGATAGCCATTCTTATTGAAAATAATTTCAGCTACAACTTTGCTCAAGATCGTTTCTATGTAAAACGAGACAGGAAAAAGTTATTAATTATTTAAGAGATTGGTAAACTTATGACATGATCAAGCAGCTGCTATGTAGGCAACACTGTATTTTGCAGTGTGGCATAGTAGCCATGATTTTTGTTTCCTATTCAACGCCCCAGAAACACCAATGTTGCCTGCTGAGCAGTTGATTGAGCATGATCATAAGACATCAGCGCATTGAACCATTGATAACTTTCGATCCTCCGATTTAATCAAAAAGTGGCCTTCAGCAAAGTTGTAGCTGAGAAAATTTCCTACAAGTGCAGTTGAAAGCTTTTGAAGCAGACTGATATGGTGAATTATTAGATAGACATGAACAAAAATCTTGGTTTTACCATAGTAATTCCCATACAAACTTCAAATGGTTTGTGCCATCTCAGTTTCTCACCAAATGGGTTCAAATTTTGAGAGGTTAGTCAGGATCCGATTTGGAATCGTTTAAGTACTGTGGAGTGAAAATTTCAAATTTTGAATCACTCTAGTGCCCATACTCAAGGCTGATGGAACAGTGCGTATTTGCGGTGATTATAAGGTCACTCTCAATCGATTCCTCGAGGACTGCAAGCATCCAATTCCAAGGATAGATGAGTTGCTATCTACGATCTACGAGATGCATAGCTAACTGATGATTCTAAGCAGATATGTACTTGAAGCACCCACCCACCCACCCACCTACCGGGTAAACAAAATGCCTTTTGGAATAACTCCTGGCCAACCATTTTGAGAACGTACAAAAGGTGCTTCGAATACTCTCAGATAAGGGATTGAAGGTAAAAAGGGAAAAATGTGAATTTATAAGGGACAAAATCTCATACTTGGGATTCACCATTGACCACCATGGTCTCCACAAATCGTCTCAGATGGAACAGAAAATCATTAATCTTGACGAGCCGTTCATGAGGTGAGGCGTCTTATGGGAATCGTGGCGTTCTATTCGCGGCCTCGATAATGGCTCCAATATAAGCACTCACTCGCACGAAGGGAAGCCGAGGAAAATTTCTGTGGACCGAAGACTGTCGAGCAGCTTGGAAAAAGATAGTCGATGTAAATAAAGAAGATATAGCACTAGCGCACTTCGATCAACAGTTACCTTCTATAATCGAAACTGACGCTTCGGATGTCGGAGTGGGAGCTGTGTTACTGCAGAGGCAACTGGATGGGTATGAACGGCCTTGTTACTTCGTTTCCCGTGCGCTAACCGATACTGAAAAAGGCTATAGCGTGATAGATAAGGAAGCATTGGGTGTAGTATATGCACTGAGGAAATTTTACCCATACGTTTATGGTACAAAAGTCACTATAAGGACAGATTATCGGCCCTTGTTAGGAATACTGGGTGAAAATAAGGAAATACCAGTATTTTCTAGTCGTCGTCTGCAACGATGGGCACTTTCCATGGCAGCTTTTGATTACACGTTGGAGTACATCAAAGGAGACAATAATGACTTGGCGGATCATCTTTCAAGGAATGCGAATCTAAAACAAGAGTTGCGGGAGCAGGTCTCAACGTTGTGTCTGCTGATGAGTTGAAGGAAGCAACTGAAAATGACGAGGTATTACGAAAGGTTCAGCAATATATTTCCAACGTTTGGCCCAGAAAACTATCGTCTGGAGGAGAGCTTCCGAGGTACTTCGCAGTTCGGGACAAGCTGAGTTGCAGTGATGGAGTGATATTGCATGGTGACCGTTTGGTAGTACCTTGGTAGAATATTGAATGAGCTACACCAGTCTCGTCAAGTTGAAGTTACGACGAAGAGTTTTGCCGGTCAATTCGTGTGGTGGCCTTCTTTAAACGCAGATATCCATCAGCTTCTCGAAAACTGCATGTCATGCAGTAAATTAAGGAATTCACCGCCGAGGACATCGTCACCGTGGCCTGAAACGAAGCATGGATTTGAGAGGATACATCTGGATTTCGCAGGTCCAATTTGAGGTCAGTACCTGCTGGTACTTGTACACTCATTCACAAAATGGATAGAAGTATTCGTGATGACCCGAATAGCTACCGAAGCTACTATTAAATGTTTACGATCAACATTTGCCCACTTGTCCACATTTGCCCACTACCTGTTCTCGTTGTGTCAGGGATAACGGACCACAATTCACGGCATCGGAGTTTAAGAATTCCCTGCAGGTGAATGGGATACAGCACATTACTTCACCCGTAGGTCACCCTCAGTCAAACGGAGCTGCTGAAAAAGCTGTGAATACGGTAAAGCTGGCCCTAGAGAAAATTTTGGCAACGCAATGTGACATGATGGTTGCGAACGCAATTGTGAATTTCTTGATGGTGTACCGCAACACTCCTCACTGCACCACACAGGAGACACCTTCACAACGAATGTTCGGGAGAAAGGTAAACCTGAGACTGGATTTGGTAAGGAGGGCTACCATATCTATGCCGCCTCTGTCTGATCCTGTTAAAGACCACCACCAGCTTAAAACCGTTCGGAAGATAAACGTAGGTGAAACAGTTTTGGTACTGGATACGCGGATACCAAATAAGAACTGGCACTGTGCAGAAGAGGATTGGTCGAGTTGTTTACTTGATGTTAACTGAAGAGCACACACTTATAGCTAATTCGTTTATTATTCAGTTCCAACCTGGATCGGGTATCAAGATTGGGTCTGCTTGTTTTCTGACAAACGTCAGTTTGATCGTTTGTTTTTAGAACCCAGCTCAGGTTGAGGTTCGCACTGATAAAAAGTTCGGTTTCGCGGTTTCACCCGATAATAAACGAATTCGCTATTAGAAATTATCACCGATTTCGGTAATTTTTACCGAAATCTGAACAGCTGAACTGTTCGGTAAAATTTATGCAATTGACCATTTTGTCAAGCAGTTTTGGCGTAACATTCTACCAGCGATTTCACAAAACTGGACCAACTAATTTCTATTTTTTTTATGAAACCCACAAATGTTGGCTACTCTTCTCGGGGCTTTAGAAGAAAAAATCTCAAAATAATGTTTTATTTCAAAGTTCGAGTGGTAGTAAACGTCATTTTAACTGCTCGAATGAAGTGGTTAATTCATATCAATTGCTTTCCAGCTATTTTGAAACTAAATCTCCACTAAAATGACAGGATTTGATCATTTAAACAAGGTTGAACATGTTTTGAAATTATTTTCAAATTCAATAGCCTTTCAAATTCAGCTGTTCTGATTTCGATAAAATTTGCCGAACATGAATGTGTAAACGTCATATAAATCAGCTGTACAAACTTTCAGGTCAGCAGGACGATACACGCTATTTCAAAACTACCCAAATTTGGGTAGAATCCATCTGTCAAAACTGAACCTACCCAAAAATGGGTAAACTGTGTTGAGAGTGACAAGTTGACAAATGAACAACATTGATATGAATCCGATCGACGTTGTTCATTTGTCAACTTGTCACTCCCAACACAGTTTACCCATTTTTGGGTAGGTTCAGTTTTGACGGATCAGGGTGGATTCTACCCAAATTTGGGTAGTTTTTAAATAGCGTGACCACACAACAAGCATTGGGCGATCCCAACTATTCGTCGATTTTACCAAGAAGATCCAACCGGATTAAGGAAAGAAAAAAACATTTCAAATGGTCCTATCTGCTTTGATAGATTCTCTTCATCGACTTTCTCTTTCGTCAATAACTCAGCTGCAAAACCTTTCCCTGTTGTATTTGACGTTTTGGAAGCTAGATAAGAACCTCCTTTATCAAACTATGTGGTAGAATTAACGCGAAATCTGTTTGCATAGCAGTGGTTATGAAAAGAGAAAGTCGATTAAGAGAATCGATCAAAGCAGATAGGACCATTTGAAATGTTCATCGAGATTTGAAAGATTGCAAATGACTTGTTGCAATCTTGGAGGAGCCCATGATGTGTAATTGCATTTCTTTATATAATTAACCGTCAATTTGAATAGCTTTCTAATAAACTAAATTTCTTGTATTTCTTGCCATATTTGCCACTTTCGAAGTAGAGTACAAGAAAACTGAAAAAATGGATCAGTCTTGAATTGCAAGTTAACTGATATACTTCTTAGTCCGTACACTATAATAAATCGTTAGTTCTATGTTAGTTACCACTAAACATAGCATATAGAATTCTAAGCAGCCTCAGTTTTAAGTCGTTATAAGAACTTGAAAATTCGGGTACCATAATTGAAGAGCATTCTAAGCAGCTTCTCACGGAACTTGAACGGCACTTTTAGTAAATAAGTTAAACAAAGGTTTTTGTCCTCTAAACCAATTTTATATTTAGTTCGCACTTTTATGAAAGCTATTTCTAAAGCCAGGTATGAACGTGTATTGATTTATCAGCATTATTTGTAGCATTAGATCTGTTTGATGTCACTGCTGTTGATTGCGATGATATCTATCGATAACTACGTATGTTCCAGCATTAAAACCTAATGCACCTGAATCTCCGTTGGATTTAACTACAACTCCTCCTCATCTCCCACCTTTCATTCCAGAATGTGCGACATCCTGCACACGCGGCAGCTCAAGTTCCACCTTCGGATGGATTCCATCTTCAACATGACCAAAATCAAGCAGGAGCAGGAACGCCTGCTCGGCATCATCCACGGCCTTACCCGCAAGGTCGTCAAGCAGAAGAAGGATCTGTTCAAAAAGAACCTGTCCGAAGGGAAACTTCCCTCGCCATCGTTTTCGGAAATCATTGCCCGGGAAGAATCAAAAGCAGCACTTCCCGTCATCTCCCAGGGCTCCCTGCTCACCGACGATCTTGATTTCAACGATGAAAACGACATCGGTGAGAAGCGTAGACTGGCCTTCCTGGACCTGATGATCGAATCGGCCAACAGTGGAGCCGATTTGACTGATGAGGAAATCAAAGAGGAAGTGGACACCATTATGTTCGAAGGACACGACACCACCGCTGCTGGGTCTAGCTTTGTACTGTGCCTGCTCGGCATTCATCACGACATTCAGGATCGAGTGTACAAGGAAATCTATCAGATCTTCGGAGATTCCAAGCGCAAAGCAACCTTCAACGACACCCTGGAGATGAAGTACCTGGAACGAGTGATCTTCGAAACACTACGAATGTACCCACCAGTTCCGGCGATCGCTCGCAAACTGACCCAGGAGGTTCGGCTGGCTTCTCACGACTACGTCCTTCCAGCTGGAACGACGGTCGTCATCGGAACCTACAAGATGCACCGCCGAGCGGACCTTTACCCCAATCCAGATGTGTTCAACCCGGACAACTTCCTGCCGGATCGCACCCAGAACCGTCACTACTACAGCTACATCCCGTTCAGTGCCGGTCCGCGAAGCTGCGTTGGTAAGTGATTCCGGGAAGGGCTCATGTTATCTTTGTGGCTAACCGCGTTCCTTTCTTCTGCAGGTAGAAAATATGCCATGCTAAAACTGAAGGTTCTGCTCTCGACCATCCTGCGCAACTATCGGATCGTGTCCAATCTGAAGGAATCCGACTTCAAGCTGCAGGGGGACATCATCCTGAAACGCACCGATGGCTTCAGACTACAGTTGGAACCGAGAGGAGTCTAATCAATTACCAACCAACAGTAGATAAGGCTGTGGCGACAACGATGCTGGGAGCGTATTGCCTTTTTATGATATTGTTAATTGAATTGTTCGGTTCCCGATCCGAAGGTAGAACCGCAAAAACAGTCGCTAGTTTTTCCCTCGCTTATCCCAAATGCTATTTATTCCTGTGCGCTTGCTTTTCTTGTTGTTATTGATTCCCCTTACGAGCATACCCGAGAGATAATAAAACCTTCTCCGCATACCTGACCCGTGTTCGGGATTTTGGTTTTTTTTTCGATTCATTCATGTCCGAAATGGGTAAGAAACAAAAGGATTATCGCACACTGACTGGAGACTGGAAACGGGTCATTCGAGCGGTCAATCAATGTTTGTTGTCCAAGTCCGTGTCGGTCCGAGACTGTTAAGATAGAAGACTTGATCGAATTGCCACTATAATGAGAGCTCTTCAAGATAACGTGCTGACAAGGGATGTTTGGGTATGTGTGTCTACTAAAACATGCTTGTGCATTTTTATTGGTGTGGGAAAAGGCTGGAGCACTTACTAAAGGTTATCAGCGGTGGACCTCAAACGTGGCGCAGAACAGGGCAAACGAGATATAATGTAAGTTCATAAATAAGAATACATCAAAGACTAAAATTTGCCAAACAGGAAAATGTCGAATGTCAATTGTCGAATTTAAGCAATTCAGCGACCGTCTTTTTGTATTTCAAAATTGAAAAGAAGATTCAAGATCCTCATAGTTCATTCTTCCACAAACATCACCCACTGAAGCAAGTCCCATTCCCTTCGTCTCCAGCCGAAACATTGTGCTTTATGTTAGAGTCCAATCCATGTGGTTAACCAAGTGCATAATACCACCGCATGCGGCTGGTGGGCAAATTTCGGTTTGTTTTTGTTCAATTTTCTCCTCCATTGCAAAACAGTGATCAAGCCCTCATTTCATACGAGGTAGGACAACACGCATAATAGAGAGATCTCCTGGAGGCGATAAATAGTGGGACCTCACGCAGAACCGTCGCCTCATTGATTGGGACCATGTTTTGACAGATTTCGCCGGAAAATGATGATTGAACAGCCTCAGGCTGGAAAAAGGACAATTCTGCACCAACCACCACCCGCTGTCAGAGTCGATCGATGTTTACATTGCTGGTGGTGATCATCCTGTAGATCGGTTCGGTTGGGACAGATCACCATCATTTCTAGTTACTAATTTCAAATTCATCCTGGAACACACGTGATGGACAACATACGGTGGAAACGTGAGACTCAGTCAAGGACAATTCATCATACCAGAGCGAGCGGATCCATTTCTCAATAGTTCACACTTGAAGAGAGTCGGTAGGTACCCACTCTCCTCAAGACACGCGTGCATTCCTTTGCTTTCCCTTTCAAGGCAAAGACTAAGAAAGCGAAACAGCCCGCTTGCTCGCGCTTTGAGTGGAAACACGTGTTCTCACAGATTTCTTAGACTTGCGGCTCTCCGTCGTCGTGAGAGTTGTTCAAATATTTTCTTTCAAGTCGCTTCGATTCGACCGCTGCTGCTTGTGCTGCCGAAGGAAGCGACCGACGACGAGCTGCGAGTGATACGGTTCGGTCATAAATTTCTTCCAACATCCGGACGCACGGTCGCCGCCCGGGTTACCAGCTGTGCAGTGCTTTGCCTTCGGATGTCGCTTCTGCCGACCCTGTGGAACCGAGCGCGAAGTTGACATTTTGATTAGGAAGATCTATCACCCCCGGCTGGCGTCGTCATCTAGCCCGTTATCGCTTTCAGTAAATATTTGAAAGCAACTTATTCGCTCTTCTTCCGAACCACAGTTTGTGTGATAGCGATCACAATCGAGATGATTGAATTTGAAGCTATGGTTAAATTGGTAGGGCAATGTTAGATTTGCGAGAAAAAAAAAATGTACCGACGACGAAACATCAGATTGGCATTCGGAAGCGATATGAAATGTTTGGTTTTGATGGACGACAACATTTCCTGGAATAATGCGTCTTGAAGACGATGACGATGTGTCCAAAGTTCATGAAGAAGGCTGCCAAGGGAGTTCAGTCATAGTCAAAAATACACACACTGAATAAGGTCCTAAGAAACAGCAATCATTATGAGTAGAATATCTACAAATGTCTTCACCGCCACTTGCTAAGACTCCGAACACGATACCTTCGGTAGAATGTATATTCCAAAATTGGCAATGTTTGAAAAATCATTGTTCAACAATTGATCAATAAATTTTCAATCTTTTGATACTGAATAAATCTTTTACGTATTTAATTTCAAATGGCGCCAATAGATTTGAAATTCATCATTAAATGACTGAGCTATGATTTTTCAAACATTGCAAGCTTGCCGTTATACATTTTACCGGAGGCATCTTGTTCGAAGTAGAGGTGTGCAAAATAGCTCATCTGGCTGAGCGGATCAGACCCGTCCAGCTTATTAAAATGAGTCGATTCTTTCAAACAGCTCTTTAGCTCACCTTGAAATTATAGAAATTTTGACACAAATTCAAAATCAGAACAGAAATAGGGGCCATAAACCAAAATGTGCCAACAACATATCAGTAAAAGCATAAAATGTATGCGAACCAAAACTATCCAACGGTTGAGTTCTTTAAACTTACTTTTGAGTTGATGCCTCTCACTTGCTCTCTTGTCAAAAACGAAAAGAGCAAAATAACCCAAAATTGAGTACTATTCACCCAACTCGACAGTTTCGTGCACCAAGCTTAAAATTGAGTAAGTTGTGTAAAACTCAATTTTGAGTAGTATGAACTTGACGTTGAGTGACATCAACTTAAAAGTAAGTAATCCTGTTTACATGAGGCGCACGGAACTGCCAACCTGGGTGAAATGAACTCAAAATTAGGTACTTTTTTCTTTCCGTGTATGTCACACGCGATGATATGATCAACATCGCCTTTTCTCAAGCTATACAATCCAGATTTTATTTCTGATGTTAATTCTTCAGCAGATTTGCTCCAGATCATCAGCTCAGATCTAGAGATGGGCTCCCGAGCTATTCTATAGACCCGATTCATTAAAGTCAGTTGATGACCCGTGGTTCATTTTTAGGAACCGCAGCTCATCAGCTCACTGATATCATAAGTCTAATGGTGTATTCAGATCTGAGCGTGCATTAGCGGAGCGGAGCTCTCTCTACTATCGGCTTCAGCTCCAGATCATCAGCTCCAGATCATCAGCTCAGATCCGGATCCAGATCCAGATCATCAGCTCAGAGGCGGTTCCGGTGCTGAATCGTAAAGAATCGAGAGAAAAAAAGATCCGAAGAGCTGGACGGGTCCGAGAGCCGAGTCCGAGGACGGGTCAGTGAATCTTTCGAGCCGATGATTCGGATCCGGAGCTGAGCTGATAAGCTGGAGAGATTGATGGGAGGAGAGGTAAGAGCACATATGCTGGAGGAATAACATCAGTAATAAGAGCCGGGTACGCAAATGCATTGGATAATACCAGTAGAAATTTAAGATCGTGTAATCGTAGGTACATGTTGAATTACGCGCTCATCTTGGTTTACGCGGTGACTGTTCAATGCGTAAAGGAGCAATGCGTGCTTTTTTGAAAAATTCCGTCTTAGGTGACGGATTGAATGGTTTAGATTTGTGATAACAGTGTGCTGATGAGGTGCGATTCCTAAACAAATGAACCGCGGTTCATCAGCTCACTTAAGTGTGAACATGGTTAGTAGGCCCCCAGTTCGCTTTCAGCTGTGGACGGACACAGCAGCATTTGTTCTCGGTGTCGATAGTGCTATCGGCAGTCTGTTTTTCGACCAAGCTATTGTGTGTTGCGCTCATTGTTTAACCGCAGTTAGCTAGCCGTGTGTGGAAACCTGTGGATAGAATCAAGAATGAATAGAGTTGAAGTTAAAAACACCGTCAAATTTAGCTTTGGCGATGGAGCTAGAAAACCGTCGATGGGCGAAATTATTAATTTTGCGAAGACTCTGGATGCGGATCCTATGCAGATGGAAGCTATATACAGGGTAGCGGAGGAGAAATCCTTGTTTATTAAATTTAAGGTCGAAGAGGCAATGTGTCACACATTGATGAATAACAGTGAACAATTAACTTTCCGTTATGACGATGGAAAGGCAGTAAAGGTACACATGTTGAATGTGGATGAATACATTCAGTATGTCAGAGTGTACGATCTGCCTTCCGAAGTGCCTGACAAAAACCTAGCATTGGTGCTGGGGAAATACGGCAAGGTAAAACGTGTGGTTAGGGAGAAATTTCCTCCCGAGTTAGGTTTTGATATATACACCGGCATCCGCGGTGTATATATGGATGTTAAGAAGGAAATTCCTACATCACTGCATTTCCTCAACCGTAAAGGAAACGTGTTCTATCCCGGGAACAAGAATGTGTGCTTTGTTTGCAAGATTGAGGGGCACCAGGTGAATTCTTGCCCAAAGTGGAAACCTCGCAGGAAGCTCAAAAAACAACAAACGACGGATACGGAAAAACGTGACCTGGACGAAGCCCAAAGTGTTAGCAGCGTGGATACCTGTACATCATATGCGGGTGTCTTAGCCGGCGATGCTTCAGCGGATGCTATTGAGGTGTTCGATGAAGAAGTTATGGCAATCGATGAGACGACCCCGGACATAGAAGAAGAACAAGAAGCAGCAAGAGGAAGTCAGCTTGAGACCGAAAGCCATCCATTGTTCTTGATCGCGAAGAAATTGAAAACTGCTATTGAAACACAGAAAACGGAAGAAAGAAGAAAACTGCGGTCGCGAGAGAAAGTTAACACCAAACAACCTGCTTCTAGGAAAAAATGAACTAATTTTATAAACTCTTTTATTTCAAATTAATGTAAAACTGTAAGAATCGGCTTCGTAAATCTAACGCGTTTGAGCCTTGCAAATAAATTAATGGATAAAAAAAATGTTAGTAGGGCTGGGGACCGAATTGTGGCAAGGAGAGGCAAATACTAACCCCGTGGTTGCCCATCCCTAATATTCAGGATTTTGTAAATTTTGCCAGACCCTGAATCTTGACTAAGTTGCTATCCATAAATTACGTTGACAGCTTAACGGGCTGGAAAATTTTAATTTGTTGTTCTATGAACGATTATCTACGCAGGGGTAGGGTTCAAAATCGCTCAGAATCTGTCTACTGGACTTACGATTGCTGATCTCGAAATCTCGAAAGATTTTCAAAGTCTTAAATCATTTTTATTTTGAAGTTTATAAGATTTTGTTCAAGCTAATT